AAAAGACATTAATGGTCTTACCCAGCTGTTAACCCTGTGAATTATAAAACTCACCTTCCGGGCATGATGTGCTCATATAGAATAAAGTAGCGCAAGATCTGAGACCCGACCTGCAGACGGAATCCCACGAGGAGTACATAAACCTGCAAATGCAGTCAACAGCCCATGCACAAAAGTTTTCCCTAATTGTCTGTGTTTACACCCATAGATAAAAGCTGCTCTCAGCCCTAACCAGATCTGCTCTTTTCCGTGAATGGTAATAAATGTAGAGACCGTCGCTATCCAAGATACTGAGAATAAAGGGTTGTTGAGGATTCAGCCCTACATACGATAGGCTAAGGTTCAAAGGACACCGGGAAATATTGGGCAGAAGGGATATGAGAGCTAGAATATGGGGAGGTAATAATTTCAAAGTGCTGTCTTCCAGACACGGCACAACGTAGAGACAGCTTCATTGTGTCCATGTGTGGCTGTGTACGTGCAAGGGTCCTTCCATTCCCAGAGTTCTAGTTGTGCACTCTGGGACAGCCCGCATGTTTCCTTCCCATGTGGCAGAGGCACTGGACACCCCATCTTCCTTTGCGCTTGTGAACTGGCACCGCAAGGGAGGTGCTGTTCATGGGAAAGGTGTGCGTGGGCGAGCCGTGCATGCCTTCGGATAGTGACTCTGCCAGACTGCAGCTAAAACTATCCTCAAACGCTAGAGTGGACTGATTTTCGGTAAGAGAAGTAGGAAAAACAAATTCCTAAGTGTCCTCTGAAAGATTACGAAACACAGACTAACTGAGGATTTATATTTAGAATTCTGATTACCTTCCGTATCGTGAGATGAAAGAGACATCACGTCATGCTTAGTAGACTCTGTTTTCAAGTCATATTGGCTACCATGTCCTGATAGAATTTTACTGACACTCACCCGCTTGTGAATCCCAAGCTTATATCAGCGAATGAGAGAGCAGGAAGGCATCCTAAGGACTAACGTTACAGTGTCTCAAAGTGGAAAAGCTGTGATACAGTAGCCATGTCTACAGTCCAAATCCTGCTGGGCATTTCCTTATTTTTAGGCAATGTACTTTAATTGCAATTAGTATCGTTAAAGGTACTTGACCAGGAATGTCTAATTTTGTTTTTCTTAAAAAAAAATTTATTTATTATGTATACAACATTCCTTCCATGTATGCTTGCCAGAAGAAGGCACCAGATCTCATTACAGATGGCTGTGAACCACCATGTGGTTGCTGGGAATTGAACTCAGGACCTCTGGAAGAGCAGTCAGTGCTCTTCACCTCTGACCCATCTCTCCAGCACCTAATTTTGTTTTTCTATATGCATTACCTGTCATTAGTTTTTAGCTTCAGCTTCTTATAATGATCGGCTATGATTGCCCGTGTTTCCAACGGTCACTTTCTCAGGATGTTGGACTTGCTATGCAGTCTTATATTCAGAAGCCAAACAGGCGTGAAGATGAGCGGGCTGTGCCTCTCACAGCTGTTCTCTGTGTCCCTTCAGCGTCAGCATGCCCGAGTACCCCATGCTGCTTTTACGCTCCTTTGGACTAAAGTGGCTTCCTTTCCCCCTCTGAGCTGTGACTTCTCACCAGCTTTCTGACAGAAGAGGAAGCTGCGGCTTGACATTTCTTTCAAGTTGAGCGTTCTGGGGTCAAACGGTGCCTAAATTTTGCGTTCTATGCCGTGGACAGTCCCAGATCACTTTAGTGTAACAGGAAGCATTCCGATTTATAAGCCACTAAGAAAATAAATCCTCTAGACTTCACTTTCTCTTCTTCCTCCAAAAGCCCCGTCTGAAGAGGATAGAATTAAAACATTCTTTGAAATGCATCCTTGGTTGTGCCTTAAACTGTGTACTCCACAAGACCCTTTTGCCTGAGACAGTTCAGAGGAGATGCTCCAAGGACAGAGATGTTGGGAGGAAGGAGATCTGGTCGGAGCGGGTTGGTGTTTGTGACCGGGTGGAGAAAGGGGCAGCCAGCTGGTTAGGGGAAATGGCTGAGCCCCAAATGGGAGAAATCACCTAGGAGACTTGCCTGAATGGGGGTCCTTAGCAGGACACATCAGCTCTGTACAGTTTTCTAGAATAAGAAACTGAATTTCTCTTCTGCCTCCGGTGTCTCAAACGGGAAGATCCAAAGGGGAAAAGTCAGTGTGTGCTTCCTTGAGCCACAGAACAGAAACCCTAATCCTAGCTTCTTGAAACAATGAAACCCAAGCTTCCTATGTAAGATATTCATAGATTTTCACCCCCCCTTCATTAGCTAGTCATTTAATAATTGTTTGTTTTTTCTGCCAGTGCCTCTCATCGCCTGGGCTGTCGGGAGATGATGTGGGCCTGTCCTTGTCCACTGGTACAAACTGTTTTCCCCGACTGGCCATTGTTTTCTAGAGAGACTGGCTTCTGTTCACCAGAGCTGGCACAGGCTGCCCTTCAGGCTTGGATGCCACGTCCCAGAACTGGTGCCCTGGCAGTGGGCTGATTAAAATGCGTGTCATAACCCTCTGTGGGAACGGGCGTGAGAGCGTGTTTGGCATTCGCACCACCGAGACCGATAGCTGCGTGTGCTTCATTTTTCTCTTACGACTGCAAAGTGTGCCAGCTTGCTTTAAAAATGTTTGATGATCATTTCGAGTCTGAGCCTAAAGGGTTGTAAGCAAAACTGGAAATAATCTCACGTATAGTCGCATCATTAATAAAGCGTGTTTATAAAGGGATTTTTTTCCAGTTTTAAAAAAACGCTATCCATATACACAGCCTTGCAAACCAGACGCTTGCAGGTGCATTTTAAGTATGCCCCTCAAGTCTCTATTGCAAGATAGTTGCAAGTTATTTATGGTGGCCGTAGGGGAGCCTAACTGCTTTTGAGATCATTTTATAGCAGTTTATTGGTGATCATTAAATCGCAAACAGCTTTTCAACCTGGGTTCTTTAATCTTTGAGCTGCCAGGAAGGCCCCAAGTCATTCTCAGTTTCTTAGCAGGAAATAAAAGCCCACAGTGCATTTGGTGGGAGGCTGTCTGACAGGGCCCCTGCCTGGGTGTTCTCCCCGTATCCTGCATCCCTGGCCCCTCGTCCCCTCTGTAGATTCAGTTAGTGTCCCGTGGGCAGTCATGTTCTGTCTCTGTTGTGGCACGGAGAGCAGTTGAACAGGTGGCTTCACTGTGTGATTGTGTAAATGGAAGCGTGTATGATTTGCGCTCGAAAGAGGCCATACCTTGTAGTGGCGATGACCACAGACCCCTGAACAAGCTGTAGATTCACCACTGAGTGGCTGCGTGACTCTGGAAAAGGTGGTCCCTCTGGCGCTGTTTTATAATAGGTAATCTGGAGTTCATGAAAATATCTGTCACCTGGAGTGTGTGACAACTGAATGATTCTGCTCAGAATAGAATATTCCCTGCACAGAGTAGGCCCTTTGCGTGTTCTGTTATCTTTAGTTAATAATTGCATTTTACCGGTTTTATAAGTGGCTTCAATATTCAGGGTCTTGGGGGCAGGGGTGCTTTGTCCAGCATTCTGTTAAGAGAATTAGCCAGTTCCAGGAATGTCGTGAATATGTTCCCCTCAGGGAATGCGTCTCTGACTGTGTGGGAAGGGGGGCACAGGGCCTGGAGGGAAAGACAAGACTTTGGGTGGCTGTGGCCTTGTGCCCAAACGGAAGCTCACCACGCTCAGACTCCCTTCTCCTCACATGGAGGTTTCATCTCCACAGCCTCCGAGTTTGCTTCTAAAACCCTAGGCCATGGTTTGGGCAACTGAAGACAGTCCATTTTAACACAAACAGTACTCACAGGGCAGCCGGTTCATATGAGAGGTTGAGGGGGGACTTAATTGGCTCTACAACAAGTTAGAATCAGCAACTAATTTTATGGATTTTGAGAAAATAAACATTCTAAGGTAGTCTATACGTTTTAAGAAGATGGCATTCATAAAATTAAAGAAAGGTTGCATTTCATCGCGGATTGCTTGCTCTAATATGCTATTATCCCCTCTCTGAGTGAGCCCGAGCTGTATAGAATGTTCCGGCAGTCATTACTGCCCCCACACTCTCCCATATCATCCCTCACCATTCCGGGGTCACGCTTGTCTACGCTGCTGTGGGAAAGGGAGGAGAAGGGGGAGGTTACTTCCTCTTTGATCTGTGCACCACAGAAACACACTCCCTCTTCTGCACACTTCTGTAGCCCTCCAGGCCCTGAGCCGATAGGGGGCATCCACTTAAACACTGTAATAATAAACTCATTTCAAAAAATAAAACTGTAGGCCCTGTTTTCTTCTGACACATTGACGCAAATGGCAGCCAGCGTGTCCCAGAAACCTCTCTGTGCTTTTTATTTTGATGGACGTGCGGTGCCTTGAGAAACGTCTGTCCCTTACCAGACAGGAACATTGCCCCCAGTATGCAGAAGCGCACAGAAGGGATGTGGGTAGGTCACAAGACACCAACAGGAGCTGGCAGCGATAACCTGATCGGTTAAAAGCCAGCCCAGCAGGCACGAGACTGCGTGCGTGCGTGCCTGCGTGCATGTGTGCGTGCGTGCATTCCATCGCGGGATGCTTCGCTTTGTGCTGTTTAATCTGACAAGCCAGTTTGCTTTTCAGTTTTATGGAAGAACATCTCTCCTCATCTTCTCCTAGAAATCTTGGCCTGACTAGGCAGGAACTTTAAAGGTGAGCAAAGTCTCCGACTATGGTTGGAAGGTTCAAGGGTCCTCTGTGTCCACCCGAAGTCTCCCCTACAGGAATCCCAAGGAGCAGCCGATGCAGGGAGCTGGGGGGGGGGGGAGAGTTAGGTTTGAGATTCTAGAACCCAAGAGCCAATCCCTCCAATCACGGTGGAAAATAAACGCGGATATAACCCTGGAGAAAGAAGCTCAAAGGTCTGGGTCTCTTGCTTCCTTCGCCAGCATCCCGACAAGAAGGGGAGCAGCATTGCTGCGCGGGCCCGGTTCCTAACCTTCTTCTTTTCTGTGTCCACCTGTCTGCAGGGACAAGGAGACTTGCTGAAGAATGCCAAGAACGAGGCTATAGAGAACATGAAGCAGATCCAGCTGGCCTGTTTGTCCTGTGGCCTGAGTAAAGGCCCTGGCTCTGGCCCCGAGGCCAAGGGCAAGCGCAGCCTGGAAGCCATAGAGGAGAAGGAGAGCAGCGAGGAGAACGGGAAGCTGTGACCGAGGCAGGGCGCATGCGCACCACAAGGACTCCGCTGTCTCAGCTGTCTCATTCTTGCCTTTTCGTTTTGTTTTTACATTCTTCAGATGTTCACAGAGATGATGCCCTCCGTGGGGTGCTGTACATAAACATATATTTTCACAGTGCCAGTATTTTTCTGTAGTTAATTTATCTAAGCTGAAATTGTTAGTAGCCGTGTTGTAAACGCTGAGCTGTGTGAGTAGACCCGTGTGTTGTGCACGTGCATGTGTGTGCGCGTGCGTGTGTGTGTGGGTGCGTGCTTGCGTGCGTGTGTGAGTATATCTTTGTATGACGACTGTGCGCATGTGCACATGCGTGCATGCGGGTTTGTGCCTATGTGTGGCTGCCTGTGCGCATGTGCACGTGTGTGTGTAACTATGTGTGGCTGCCTTGCACACGTGCGTGTGTGCGTGAGAGAGAGAAGTTCTGTTAAAATATATTCTCTGTCGCAGTATTGGTTTTAGTAAGTTATTCTTTATGATCATCTGGAGACAGTTGATAATCTAAAATAATAGTGAGCACTTAGTGTAACCCATCGCTCTGGTTAGTTTTAGCTCTGTCTTTGAGATTTAATTAATTTGGGGATTTTAGCACAGCTTATTACTGAAGAAAGCCAAACGTATCAAAGCAAGGATGTTTTTATAGATTTTAAATATAGATTTAAAAATGGCAGTAGAAATTAAAGCGGATAAATCAATTTTCAAATCAGAATTCTGGGCAGACGAATTCACTTCTTCGTTCAGCAAAGTCTTTAAAATATTTATTAAATGAAATCGAATTTAGGATTTAGTCTCTGTAGATGTTTACTAAGCATGTGGCTTTGGTTGGAAAGCTGACCACAGCGAATCGGTAGCCACCAGGCGGTACTCCGAGACGCACCCAGTGTCTGCGGTGACGCGACCGTTGATGGGACAGTCATGGAGTCAGGTGTGATATTTCCAGGTTTGCGGGGCCGGCAGGAGCGCGGCGTTCATTCGCTGTGACTGGAAGCGAGCAGATGCGCGTGCTTGGCCAGGATTGGATTGACTATCGGGTACACTAAATTTAAATCTAAAGACATTGTGCAAACAGTATCCTTTCGTCGTGTTGAGCGGACGTGAATGCTGTAAGTCAGACATCATCTTTATGACGACGTGATAGCTACTTCGATGGCATGCATGGGATAATCGTAACGCACACAGTAAAGCCCATAAAGAAGGGAGTGGCTGAGGAGGGCACATTTATAATTATGTCTAGATAATATCACCCTATTGTCTTCATAAACCCCTTACATGTAATGTTCATCCATCACCGCCAACAGAACTAGGTGTTCTATGGTTATGAAAGAATATATTTATTTAAAACATTGCTTTTATTTTGAAAAGCTTCTTAATTAATTTGATTGACAAATATGCTAATTTGGGGGAGCCTAGAGACGATAATTGTTGAAATTTTGCAAATATGAACATCCTCTATAGCTACTGTGTTATTTCTGACTTCTTAATACTACTATGTTCTTGTCGCACATTGCCGAGAGAGTAAAGATATCAAAACATGGATTTTTTTTTGTTCTCCTTTCTTGTGAATTTATTGAAAACGCGAAGTTCTTGTTATGTGAAAATGTTAGCAGGCATACTGTTTCCACAGACCAGTCATGATAAAATCTCTCACTGGGCTGAAACCAGGCACTTGGGGAGGTGGCTGGGTTCATCTTGAGGACCAAGTTCTAAGAGTGCTGTGGCCGCCTGAAATAATCTCTCTGCTGTCTGTTACACTTGACCTGCCGTGAGAGGGATAAGAGGGAGAGCCGTGTGATTTCTGTACAATGAAAGATAAATACTACCGACAGAGACGGGATCAGCCAGCTGGACCTTTCTCGGCGTCTCCAATCCTGTTTGGATCAATCCATGCCTTGCAGGTAATAAAGTTGGGTGGCAAAAACATAGAATACTTATATTTTCTTTGCTTTGCTTTGGGGGGGGGGGAATCAAACCTAGTTCATCCCGTTCATCCCTAAGCTCCATTCGTACTTTGCATCTGTCTCCGTCTTCCTGAGAACATGCTGGCGATTCCGTGCCGCCTGTGATATTCTTTGAGCCGTTGTCAACACCTTTTTATTCATTCCCTGGGGACCTCTGCTAGTGAGGAAGTAGGGCACAGTTCAGGAAGGAACTTTCTAGCTGCCAAGAGGATGATGCCCTTGTGGCAGTATTGCCTTTGAGTAGACCGAAATGCACCGGGGCACAAAGCATTGTGGGTATTCACGCGGCACTTTTTCTACCGCGTACAAATGTCTGTCTCCACCACAGCCTTGAACCGCCATACAGAAAGCCACTTTTACCTTGGTATCTCATACTAACCTGTGGTACTAGGACAAATATTTAGAATGCAGCTCCAGGATTATATTGGGGGCAGTAACATGGCAATTGTGACGTCACTTCCAGATCTGTGACGTCACTAGCCCTACCTGAGTAGTTAGCCAGGTTTCCAGGACCAGGCATGGTTTCCCTCATGTCGGATGGGTATTAAGCCCTGTCGAGAGCTGATGGTTGATTCTAATCATGCTATGGTGGTCATTGTGGCTCACAGGCATCATAGCCGGTTAGGACTGATGAGTTAGTCCCTCCTGTGGAAGCTTGCATGGCTCCTTCTAGTCAATGAAAGCTAGACCTCATGGAGGAAGGAGGTGTTTAGTTCTATCCAAGCTCAGGGGTATTGGGCCCTGGGTCTGACATGCATGGTGTTTTCACCAATGGGTACTTACCTTCCACCTCTGCGGGGGGCAACCGCAGCCAATAGAAACAGCTTGTGTTTTGGGGAATCTCTTGGGCAGCCCTGACCAACAAATCACAAGAGGGCTTCTTCTCGCGCCTGGTGTTGGGGTTTTTGTTAGATGGTCTTTGGTTCTTGGGAAAGATGGGAAAATTTCATTTCAACTATGTATGTATGTGTTTATATGGAAATGCATGTGTTGTTGGTATTTTTAGGCAGATGGTAGATAGTATGATTCTGTATGACTTTTCCAGACATCGTTACTGTTATTATGTTCTCCTTCTTCCGTGTTTGTCTCGGTTTCCCCTCCCTAACGAGAACCTCCCGTTTCTCCACTTCCTCATCAGAGGGATCACACCCCGCTCTTTCCCTCCCCGCCGCTCTCCAGCCTGCAACGGTGCCCTTTTCCCTCCTTGGTTTCAGGGTGTTCTCAAGAGAGGAAGAAATAAGTTACATTATTTATAAATATCTCAGGAATTAAAGGAGAATTAGGATTAAAAACAAAAGTTATTTTTGAGTGTGAGTTAAGATTCATTTAATTCAGAAATGGCTTCTAGTTTTCAGCCATGGAATTTTGCCGAAAGAAAAAGATGAAACCGGCGAAAGAAGGGACAGCATTGCGTAGGACAAACCAGCGAAACCTGAAGTTGGTTCTCTGGAAAAGACCAATAGAATTCTACGCTTCTTACCAAACAGAGATGAGGGAAAATGAGAAGGCGCAAATTACCAATGCTGAGTGAGAAAGAGGCATCATATTAGATTATACTAATATGAGGGGGATAATAAGGCTGGGTTATGAAGACTCAGTGCCAATAAATTCTACAGCTTCACCAGGACAGAGCAAACTCCTTGAACGGCACAGAATACCAAATCTGAAAGTAATTAAGAATCGAGAAACCAGAGTTGAATTACACATCACAGGTCTTCTCCGTTTTCAGAAATGCGATGTAATAAAGAATGACAGAAAATCAATCAATCAGTGGTTGCCGGGAAACAGCTCAGGGCATCGAGGGAGCTGAGCTCAACCCTAGGACGCGCTGAGGGTTGATCAAGGCGGTTCTAACCTCGGTCTGGGGATAATTTTATATGCCATATTTACACGAAAGCTTCAACTGTATACTTTACACACGCAACGTTTACTGCGGGGAGCTTTACGTCAGCACAGCTCTTTAAATGCACAGTAAAGCTGTATGTTGGTAACACATTTCCATTCGCGAGCAATCATTTCCCCTGCCTGTACCTTTGCAGTTTCTTTGACGTTGGAGATGTTGCCTCTGTAGCGCTCAGATTTTTATCTGGGAACCAGTGCATGTACAGAGTTAGGCATTTAAAGTCTGCATAAGCTTTCTCTTTTGTATCGCGGCTTTGTTATTTTTGCGACTGCACACATTTGTGTGTGGAGACTCATGAGCTCCTGCTCAGCTGTCCTGATCTTGGGAACAGCAGTCCACAGTTTCATCAGCACCACACAGCACCGTACGTACCCTCTCCCCGTCTCCTCCTCTCCCCTGACGTTGTTCATCTTCCTCTGTGCCCTAGGAGAGTTTCTTAATGCTCTTCTTTGAGACAGAAGTTCAATTAAATCTGTCGATTTTGATTTTAAATGTTTGGTCACAGTTTCATTTCAGGGCGTTGCTTTTACACCCGTGTTTTGCTGTTTACTCTTGAAGCATTGCTGGCAGCATTTTTAACATGTAACTCTTTTGTGTGTCTTCTCCATAATCCGGTGCTGGACCGAATGCAAAATTAAATCCCAAAACAGTCCCAGAGAGTCACCTTCTTATCCTTATTTTAGAAGAGGGAACTGAGCCTGGAAGAGCATTTGGGCTCAGGATTACTGTGTAAGCTCCAAACCCCAAGCCCATCTACTTTATTCATAGGTATGCCATAGAACTCCTACTGAGGTAGAAACTCAGCAGGGTTCTCAGTTGACTGTCCTGACATCAGGTAGAATTGTTTTAAGGTTAGAGACGGAAACCACCCAGAGATTTACATTACGGCCATGGCTGGTGGTAACTGAAATACCCTCTAGTCACGTGGCCCCTTTTCTACCACGTTATAGCCACTGAAGCAGCCCCAGAATGGACTCCACTTCTTTCAATCCTGATGCAGAATGGGAAGGTTCTGGAATAGCTTTGGAAACCAGAAATATCGCTGTTAGCCACTTTTGGAACCTACTGTGTTCAATAGGCAAATTAAGTCATTTTCCTGAGGTTCCTTAATTGAAGTAGAATTTATTCATAAAAACAGGTTTTCTGTTTTGCAGACTATAAACGAGATGCTATCTAATATTTTTTTAAATTCAAATTTTGACTTTCCATTCCTTTTGTGCTTCCTTGCGCTCTGGGGCGCGGCCTTGCATCCTGGTATATTCCTTCATATTACAATGTGTTTTCTCAAGATCCATTTTGCTTTGCATCACTGTGATGTCTTGTCAAAACCTGCTTGATGCAGATGTATCCACCGGGACTCACACAGTTCAAATATGCACCATCCCAACTTGTTCTGCGATGTCTCTGTTCACTGGAAAGAGAAGCTTTTTTGATGAGAAGTAGTAAACACACTCATCTGTGGTTATCAGGATAAGATTAGACTATAGTAAGGGATTATACTGGTCTAGCAAAGTGGCAGTAAATAGATTGTTTTCCCCCTAAGGTCCATAACCTCACTAGCTCAGGGAAGCTGGCTAGGTTTACAGGACTCGGCATGATGTTCCCCTCGTGGAGCTGGGCCTATGTCTGATTAGATAACTGTTGGGTACCGGTGACATGTGAGTGCCATTTACTGCCCCTGTCTAGATATCTTGCCCTACTGGTTGCTGTTGTGGCTTATGGGAGTCGCAGCTGGTAAGGACTAGTAACTGCTTCTTTCCCTTGGCAGCCTGCAGAGTGTTTTCTGGTATGGGGCGGGGGAGGGGAGTGCAGGGGGCTGGACTGCAGGAGAAGCTTTCAGATCCAAGTCCCACCTTCAGTCTCTGAGAGGCCACCAAGGGCTATGTCAGTAGCCTACGTTGCTTGGGACTACTTCCACTATTCTGACTATCCGTCTGAAAGATTTCTCATGACTGGCTCTGGGGGTTTGGTTAGCCCTTGGGCCTTTGGAAGCATTGCCCTCTCAAGTGGTATAACTTCCTTTCACACACACACACACACACACACACACACACGCGTGTGTGCTTGCACATGCTTGTGCATCTGTCTATCTGTACAGATGTATTAGCATCTATAGCTCAGGGAACATCTCAGAAGGGGATGCAGGAAGATGGAGAGCCAGAACCCAGGGCAATCTGTGCAAGTCTCTCCTAGAAATATCTGTGTAAACAAGATCTGAACGATGGTGGTATCAATAGGTGTGCTAACGTGGAAGGGGGGGGGATGCATGGGTCCCACTCCTAGACGAAGAATTCCAGGCAACAAATGACTCCTGAGACAGGGAGAGTTAGTCTTTCCCAGGGCTGAGACCCATTATCGGTTGTCAAGTACAGAGTGGTCAACCCTGAGACCATATACTCGCAAACAGAAACGGACTCAAAGACTGTACTTACATATCTGTGCGTGTACATGCGTACACACTGGTGTGTGTGTAACAGTAATTAAAGAGCCTATCAATTTGAGAATGGGGGCCATGAGAGGGACTGGAGAGAAGAAAGGGAAGGGGGAAATCAATGTAATTCTTTTTTAATTAAAATGTACGAAAATAAAAATAATCACAACCTGTTGTTTCTCAAGTGATTCCGTGAGCCTATTCTTGAGAGGTTTTCCTCCTCCAGGCTGAGCTTTGTGGGA